GCCAATTTCCAAAACTACTCATTTTGAAAGATCTATAGCTTCCCGTTAGATTTAGAAAAAAAATAACCCGTATAAAAATGTAAGAGAATTCTAAGCTCTTATAGTCCCCTCCCAGATCATATTCTGAAACTTATTGCCTTGCGTAATAAGTGGAAGAATAAATGGTACAGGACCAGAGATCAGGACGTAAAGTCGGTGGTAAATTCCCTTACCACTCAGATTCGCAACCTCATGAAACAATGGCGGGCTGCACAGTGGCATGAGAAGCTACGGTCCACGCATGGAGATTACAAGAAATTTTGGATGCTTCTGAAAACCACCACTAGGAAGAGAAGCTCCATATTACTCCATGACGACAGCATTCTTTTAACACCAGAAGAACAGGCGGCTAAATTTGCTGATTTCTACGGTGATAATATAACCAGACGAACCGGGACTCTAACCGAACTTCCAGTGGAAGATATCGGGAGCAATTACATGTTTGTATCCCCAAAACAAATAAAGGCCATACTCCGTCGTTCGAAGGGAAACAAAGCTCCCGGCCACGATGGAATACAAACCACATTACTAAAAAAATTACCAAGGAGAGGAATAGCTCACATGACAAATCTTTACAACTCCTGCCTCAGGTTGAGGTACTTCCCTGATGCATGGAAACATGCTATCCTCTTCCCGCTATTGAAACCCGCGAAGAAGGGATCTCAGCCAGCCGACTACAGACCTTACAGTTAGCTTACATCCACATCTGGGCAAGGTCTTTGAGAAAATTATTCTTAATTATTTCAAGATCTATTGCTTAGAGATAGCTCTTATCTCACCGGAGCAGACCGGCTTCCAAGCCGGCCTTTGTCCGGATCACCATCTGGCGAAGCTACAGGCGGAAGTAAGCTAGAACACAGTTCAGAATAAAAGGACCGCAATGATATCTATAGACTGCACGGAAGCCTTTGACTCAGTATCCCCTGGTCTTCTTTGTAAGACACTCTTGGATAACGAGTTTCCGGAGCAGCTCTTTACAGTCTTGCAATCGTTTCTGCAGCGACGTTCAATTAAGGTACGGGTCGGTGAAGCTGTTTCTAAGAACATGCCACTCACCTAAGGAGTCCCCCAAGGGTCTGTGCTATTCCCAATGCTATTTTCAATTTATACTGCTGAAACTGTTGGAGCAAAGTACAAGAAAGCAACTGCAGCGGCATACGCCGATGACATCGCTATCTACAGTAGCTCAATCAGCGCCGAGACAGGTCAAGGCCTGTGAAAAAATAACTCACAAACTGAAAGGGCTAAATATTGCAGTCAACCAAAAGAAGACAGACTGCATTATTTTCTCCTTTCAAAAGAACAAGGTCTATAAGGTAGCGGGTAGTGAGAACAGACCGGCGAGCAGTATAGTGTATCTAGGTGTTACCCTCGAAATTGAAATCGGTAAGAACCAAGGCATACAGGCTCAACCATCTGTCGACTTCTCCTAACTTATCCCTCCGCCTCAAATTAACAATATACAAGAGCATTTTAAGACCGGCACTTCTTTATGGAGCACCACTACTAACTAACATATCACCGGCAATATCGAAAAAGCTCCAAACAGTTTCAGAACGGTGTGCCAAGAAAAATAGTGAGACACACGACTTTACAAAAAACACGTACTACATGTCACCCTCGAATTACCGAAGGTGGGCGACTTTATTACACGCAGGAATATCAAATTTTTTGATAGCGTCAAATACTCGACAAACCCACTTTTTAAAACACTTACTCCACTTACTCACAGACCTATGAGATTGCAGACATATATTAAAAACCTATTACTAGACTGAAAAATTGACATTTACAGGACACTAGTGAGCCCCGTCACTATACTAAGACGAACCAGGACTATGAATAACCAGAGTACTCCCAATTCCCCACCCTCCTCTTAAAATGCACTCTGTGCAGTACAAGAGTTCATGTTCCAGCCACGTACAGTAGTAGTAACTCTGTTCTCAACACCACATCATATGGGGTTAAGAAAAAAAAAAAGAAAAAAAAAAGTCTTATAGATTGAACATAACTAGTTTTTAGTTATATCCCTTTGGAAATAAGATATTAAGCGTAAGCCAAAAAAAGTCAGAAATTTCAGAGATTTTTGGAGCACTGTGGCAAACCCAAAAGTCTGTGGATGTCGAAAACTTTCGTGCGTGGATTTTTATAGTCACTATAAAACTAACAATATATAGTGGTGTGAAATCTTTTCGAACAAACCAAATTTTTATAAAAATTATAAATGCTGTAATTTTTTTAAAACTTTTATTATGATATTTACAACTGTATTAGTATGAATACATCAAGTAAATGGGTATAGAGAAACTACCCATCGGTAGCACTCTACATGTTGTAATAGTGTTTTTATCTTCTTAATTGTAAACTAATTTAACCTTAACATTATTTCCAATTAACTACAACTAATCTGTTGTGTTGACGTTTTTTGTCATATGAATAATGGTACGTAATTTTTTCAAATTTTACAACCTAATTATCCACTTCAGTCTTCGCTCTTTATTGTGAACATTAAGGACCGTTATATAAATTCCTGAAAACTGAATGTATCAGCGAAAATTTTTCCAATATTGGAATTCTTGGATTTTTTCGGTAATTAAATTTTACACTCGATACTCATAATTTTTTTTTTTCTATTTAATGTTACTTTTCTTTCAGAAAACGGAAAAAGTACTATAATTATGATGGCCATCTTGCTGAAAAATAAAGTTCTATCCAATCAACTAAAGCCCAGGTAATGTGTGTGTAAGGATGCTATGGTACCATTGTGCATCCAGTTTTCCGTTTGTTCACATGGGGTCACACACAAACTCCAGATCTAGAAACATACCATCAAATCATTAGGAAACCACCTATGTGTTTTACTGTTTGTATAGATTCATATGAAAATTTCTCTCCAGATTTTCTGTGACATATTGCCTCTTTCGTTCATTTTTCGTGTTATTTGGCAAACTTAAGTTGCTTTCGCTTGTTTATAAATTGAAACAATTGTTTTCTTCAGTCAACAAAATCATTAAGGCCAAATGGAACCCTCAAAGATTTTTTGGCTCTATGAATTTTTGTAATCAAATAAAGATTCCATAAAAATATAAAACCAAGAAAATCTACAAGTATAATTTATCTGTTAAAATCGAAGTGATTTTTTATTTTTCCTTTTTACTTATTTTGTAATCGAGCTAAAGTGTATGCGTTTTCCATCGATCGTTTTTGCTAGGATATTCACAGTTACAACTGATCCAAAATTTTGAAGATAATGGTTCTAATTTACTAACAATATTACATCGGTCAAATAAAATGTAAATTTCAATGGCTGAGGTTTATTTGTTCAAACCTAATTAAAAATATTTTCAGTCATTATTGGCTTAATAATATGAAAAAGTGAACACGCACTAGAAAGGAATTAATTATTCCCGTCAACAGGGACATATTCCAGTTTCGCATACCCTTTACATCGTGAGAACACCGCTGTCCAGTCTTTCCCTTTGACATTAACCTGAATCTGGATAGTGACTCTCAATGACGTCAAAATATAAGGCCGCTCCGATCTCAGTTCATTTTAATCTCTAGCTCCTTAACCGGGTGTCGACCTTCAGGCATAACACGCCACCATCGTATCAGCTATTAATATATTACACAGTCATTGGATATGTCTTTGACTCCAGAAAGTGACGTATCAATTTATTCATATCCGGGCAAGAATGCCAGAAAAATGAGTTTCTGATCTCCACTTTGAGTTTGTAGCTTCTACAACATTACCCTTACATCAAACTGGACAGGCATCGCGCGATCGTATAATGGATCCCTAATCGGACGATCAAAAGATCAAACCTAAGTAATGTAGGTGGGTGTCCTGATTCAACATCAAAGGTGCTCGCTTGATGGACGAGAACGTTCGCATTGGTTTATTTTGATACCTCATCACACACATCACCCCATCGTGTAATTAACAGATGTGTACCTGAAGATGACGTTTCTTAATGAAATGAAAATGCCAATAAGTCAACGCTATAATACAATGCTTAGTCGCTTAAGGAAACAAGTTTATTTTGTGTTATAGATTGTAGTTATAAATAGATATCGATATAAATATGATCGAAGAGAAGATTGGTTGGGATGATCAGTAAACATAAATAAGATATTTATTTTTATTTATGCCGAAGTTTTGGCCCAAAGTCCAGGCCTTCGTCAGGGCTTAGAATGAACCCCTATAAATCCCTATGTCTAAAAAATTTAGGTAGAATGAAATAGAATAACAGTGGAATAGGTAGATTAAAATTTTTTAGGCTGTATCTTTCACATACATATTATTTTTCTTTTTAATTTTTTAATGTTAATAGTTTGTCATATCTATTGTTATCTAGTTCATTATGAAGGCCTGAACTTAGGCCAAAATGTCGGCAGAAATAAAAATTATTTATTTTTACATTTTTTTTTACTGATCACCCCCAACCAATCTTCTTCTCAATTATTCACTACAGTCAACCATCAATCTACAGTTATAAATATGATCATAGGCTTTCCATTTTGGTTGAGGAGATGATGTAACTCCCCACAAAAAAGTCTCGGGAATTCATATTATGTATAAAAATGATGAGTGATAATTAACATAATTACTGTAAAACGAATAATATAAAAATAAATTTTAATATATGTTTAAAAATTAGTTGGTTTTTGTGTGTATGAATATATTTGAAATTATGTTAACAAAGATACTGAATGTATAAAATATTTTTATTTAAAGATTTGAGACAATGTGATAACAACAAAAAGGGTGCACATGAATGAAAAATAAAATCCTACGATAGGTTGCTAAATATAATTGGGTCTATCAGTTGACAGAATGACTAACTCCAATTTTAACATTTTTAAGTAAGAATGAAGTTCAAAATTCATGCAGGATACAAAATTAAGAAAACACGTCCATATATTATTATTATTATTAGCGTATATTATTATACCCCAATATGTCGCCGATCCCGCCAAATTGTGCTGTAGTGGTGTTAATTGGAACATGAATCTTTGAACGTTAACTATCTGACTTTGAAAGTTTTCTTGATACTTATGGAATGTGTTTTTCGGTCTAATCTGGAAAAATGTGGCTCAAGAGTGTGCCTAATCCGACATCTGTAGTCTCAGTGACTAACAGCTGATAGCGTTTGGGCGATTAAAAACAAATTTACATTTCAACTGTCTTATTGTATCCAACAATAAATCTTTTAAATAATAAATCTTAAAAAACTAAAAATAGAAATATTTCCAATTTTCCAAATGAGTATAATACTAAAATTGAAAAACAAAATCTGCCCGTACGCCGTATGCTACCAAGAAATATGAGAAGACTAAAATATTAAAATGTACTATTTTATTATTGGAAACATAGTGTTATAATATTTCATATCCCATAAACCACGTCTGAGGATCATGGAACAGTTTGAATTTTTCAGCCCGATAATGGAAAGGGGAAGAAAAATGAACTTGAAAGCTCATACAAAAAGGTAAGTGTAATCCTTCACTCATTCCTTTCTGCATCTTCATTCTGAGTCATTCTTCATTCTGCGGGCTATCCCCAATTTTTTAAACTGTTTTAAAAATAACTGTCCTGTGAAGACTTTTTTTGTCCAACGAGGATACTGCGAAATTTATTTAGCTCTGCAAGAGTAGAGGAAGAAAAAACAGTTATATTGGATAAAAACCGTTTTTACACTTAAGTTTATGCCTCACAAGTCAGTATAGTAAAAATAAAAATTAACTTCTGATAATTATGTATTGTACGTTTCGAGGAATCTGTGTCCCCATCCTCAGCAACATAAAAAAAAAAATAGATACCAATATATTTTTGTTCATTGTAGAAACCAGTCATAACTACAATAAATAAAATATACAATACAATTTTCAAATAAATATAAACTATTTAAAAAAAAAAAAAGCTAAAAATATAAATTACTTACATTTTATTCTCCCAAAAAATATTGGGGTAGCCAGTATAATGTAATAAGTTTGGTTCAATCTTTGATATGCAACTAAAAAGATAGTGACAATAAATAGGGTTGTTAGAAATAGAAAAATAACTTTATTCTGGGACACAGTCCCTTGAGAATAACAAATTAGAACAAAATTAAAATATTACATCTGGCCAAAACAAAATAAATCGAAAAAAAAAAATAATGTAAAAAAAATATAAGTTAAAAACTCTATATACAAAACAAACTAAACTATATACAAAACCATTAATACTATGACAAGAAACTTAAAGCTATTTAGACCAGTATACACTTTTTCCGAAAAAAATAAAGAATTAAAAAATAAAAATATGTCAAATTCTCTATTAAAATCCGCTCGAATGGCTAGCAAGTATCTGACTGTTTTTGTGATAGGAATTGGAATAGGAGGGATTTGAATGTGGATATGGAGGGGGAATGTCGAATTTTGATAGGGAGGGAATTCCATAAATTGACAGAGCGAACAATAAAGGAATTTTGGAATGAGGCAGTTCTGTGAGAAGGCATGTAAAGGTCAGAAGGTCGAGATCTTGTGGACAGGGAATGGACTGAGGATTTGAACTGGAGAAGGTTGTAGGCGTAAGAAGGACGATGGTTGTTGATGATTTGGTAGAGGAACGTACCTAGAAAGTATTGTCTTCGGAAGGAGGGGTAGAGCCACCTTAACTCAGTGTAGTGGTGAGAGACATGGGAGCACCTCGGGGCACCAATAACAAATCTTACGCAGCTATTCATTAATCTTTTCAGTCTATCACGGAGCTCCACCGAGAGGCCATCATACACCACACAGCTGTAGTCAAAGTGGGGGAAGATGAGAGAGGAAATTAGGAGTCTACGGATATGTTGAGGTAGGAGATGGCGGAAGCGATGAAATAGTTTAAGGTTGTTGGTAGGAGAGCAGGGTTAGGATCTTAAATGTTATTTTATGGTTTGTTTGCAATAGTCATGTTTGTTCTATATGTTTTTTAGTATCCATTATTTAAAATACTATGGAAAAAAACCTTCTTAAATGATGGATTAAAAGAAAAATCAATGGAATAGAGTCACTGACACGTAATAATAATGTTTTAGTACTAATACGCGGATGCAACGATAGAATAGTTTTTCAGGAAAGGGAGACAAGGAAACACCAGGACAAATGCAGGCGAACGGACGAGTAAATAATCGATCAGTGATGGACAGGAAAAGGACAAAGGGCAGCGATGTCCACAATCGATACATCGACCTAGCACTACAAAGAGATAGGCTGACCCAGTTATCTAATCACTTCCGGTTCACTATTCGTGCCATTCTCATAAGATACTAATGGTGCGGTGATATTGGAACTATTGAGTCTTTGCATTTATAACACCGCTAGAGGTCGCACTGCGATTCAGCCCAAGTCCTTTGATCTAGTTGGCACCTAATAATTCATGTGATTTTAAATTCCCTCTGTTCGATTACATGTTTTAGATGAGATGCATGGAAAGGTCAACAAACTATTACTTTCTTCTTCAAAGCATTGACGTTTTATTCAGTGATGAGATTGGAAGGAAAATGTTATTTAAGAGTTCAAATTGAACCCATGGTGATCTGTTCAACTTGTTACAATCCAATTCTAGAATTACACATATATAAGTAATGTGGTTGGTCAGCAGGAGGACACGTATGCACACAATGGTAATCCGCCACTAACATTGCCTAGCCTAATAGCCCTTTCTCATCTCAGCAGATCAGCCGTTCACTACAAATCCTATACGGATTCAGATACCTTGTCTGAACTCGTATATGGTTTGTACTGGCTGGATGATAAGACAAATAAATCCTGTCGGATTTCCTCTCGAATAAAGCCTCACTACTACATATCTGGATATATATTTTAAAAAATTAAAGAATTGCTTGGAGATATTGAAAATGAATGTAATTTATTGTTTTCTTATTAACAAACGTTTAAAAATATCTCTTCACAGACTTTGTTTTTAATATTTTTTTAAAATGTATATCCAATTAATATTAATTCAATACAATAAATTATTTAAAAGCATATCGTTTTTTTAATTTTTTTTTTGTAATAATTTATCGTAGTTATTTTTGTATCTAACTAAAGGTGAATCTCACTTTATTCGGTGACAAATCTGAAATCCAATTGTTTATTAAAACATCCAAAAACTATACAATAGTATTTTATTAATATCAATCTTTATTCTATAATGGCAACCTTACTTTTTTTTATATGAAGATTAATTTTTTTCTAGTTTTGACTTTTTTTTTCATTATGCAAATTTTATATTTAAATCAAATACATTTGCTTTAATTTTTTTAAGTTTATTAAAGAATATATTGTTAATATTCTTTAAGTTACAATATTTTATATAAAATTTAAAAAAAACATTTCTAAATTTTATAGAAAATAATTTAAAGCACATTAACAATATCGTCGGTTCATTTGCAAAAATTCATTAAGTAAAATTTTAACGAATTTGAGATAATCGAATTTGAAGTTTCTGTTTCATTAAAAAAATAATAAAATAGCAATTCGATTGTTTATGTTTTGTTATTCTCAATTCTAAATATGTTTTCTATTTCCGAAAAATTAATTAAAATATTTAATATATGCATGACAATGCCACGAAGGTCATTACCATAGTTAAACACTTTTTGCACACTATAACAAAACGCGTACTCAATTTTATAATCTTACAAGTACCTAGAATATGAGTTAGACTTACCTCACTTAATGAGTTTTATTAATCATCTGATCAAAATAAGTCATTTGTACCAGATAGTGATTTTTGGCGTTCAACATTAATCTTATTTAGAGAACAAGAATTTCATTACAGTAGCTTGATGGCCTTTTGCTCTATATAGTCAGAACATCGTACACTTAGTGAAATTATTTTTACATATAAAAGTATTTGTATTTTTTTTTTTTTTTTTGCGCTGACCGATATTTTCTGCAATAAATTTTGTAAATATAAAAAAAATTAAACAAATGTATTTGATTTTAAATATGAAATTATAAATCTTTTCCCGAGATATCCATAATGATGATTAATATTCAATTAATTTCAATCAATACAATGTTAATTTAAACATCATTGCACTTAGAAGATTTAAATCTTTTTAACATATTCATGGATTAATTTTAAACAACTTTAGTTCGCCGTGCAAATATTTATTTGAATAAATGTATTTTTATGCATATTATGGTTTGAGTGACCCATGATGTTTTATTTTTATTGAACTACAAGAAATCCATTTCCACTAAACTTTACCAACAGAGTCGTTCTTGGTCAAAAAACATTTAACAGAGATCTTATAGTTAATTTTTTATTTTTAAAGTATTATAAACCACCATGGAGAAATATTGGCTTTTAGGTAATGGTAATGAATTTCCAAAAAAGCTTTAGGTAATGTGTGTACAGAGATGGACAAATGCAACTCTGAGTATCGAGTACCAAGTATTTTACTCAAATTGAACCACTATTGGGAATTTAATCACTACTTCAGTTAATCGTTTGACATCAACTGCTATTGTAATTAAATTCTTTGTTACTCAAAAAAGGTCATTATTGGAGTAAAATATTCAGTACTCAGATTAGTATTTGCCCATCCATTAAGGTCCTAAGGACAGTTCCAACTAAAAAATACTTCTTTGGATTGTGCCTCTGTAGGATTGTATAAGTATAAGAGATAAAATATATATTTATTTGTTTGAGGATGACGAAAAAGGTCCATACTTATATTTACAGATGCTAGAATATCGCCATTATTTCGTATTCTGCACTATCTGCCAGGTACATTGAACACAACGCTGGAATATACAGCTAAGGCAATAACACTGCTTTGCTTGCCTGTTATAAATATTCTCGACAACGAATGCAATTTCTGCAACTATCGATTCTGCCGTTTTCTCACCTAGAGTCTTCTTAAACATTCCTTTTTATGTCGATTGTATTCGCTTACCCGCGAGTTGGAACATTATCTCAGCCCAATCTAAGGCCGGACATCCACACGCGAGCAGCGCGTAAATATACAGCTATTGATTCTGTTTGGATTAGCGGTCCTGTCCCTTCATGTAGACATGAGCTAGCGGCATTTATTGGATTTTTGCGGAGGAGAGTATTTTTATTTTTTTTTATTTTGAGGTACCTACTTCAGTTTTTAACAATTTCTACTTCTTGCACAGGCGGATGTACGGGAGTGGGGGGGGGGAGGGCTTTCGTGTTAAAGCTACCTCTCCCTCCCAAAAAAGTAAAATATAACCATTTTTTATCGAAAAAAATATTAAAAACTATCTCTTACTAAACTAAGTATTATTATTAGTGTTATTACATTTAATAAAACTTCAAAAACCACTAATTTCATATAATTAGTTAATTTCTTCCTTTTTTTTAAACATTAATTATTGTTATATATGTGGAAAAAAAAATCTTTCGAGCTGAACTCCTCCCAAAAATTAAATAGTGGATCCGCAAGTGACTTCTTGTATACTATATTGTATTATTTTTGTACAAAGGTTTTTTAAATTTAAAACTATTCTAAATAGGGCCAATATGGATAGCTTCCTCGCCCATTTTTGATATAATAACATTTAGCTCAAGATCTATGATTTATCGTTTGAGAAAAAAATCAAGAAGAGAAGTCGTTTCTGAAGTATTGCCTTGTCAAGGAAAAACGCTCGCGAAAGCGAAAGAAGTAGCGAGGATGTTATAAAATCGATATTGGAGCATATAGTTTTTGAATTATTAACGCTCACTATTCTTGAGTATTTCATCATATTGAATTAAAGGCAGTAGGGGTTATGTAAGTACAATTAAAAATATTTTAACCTCATAAAAATATACTGTAAATATAACCTGCCATTTATGATCACCGCCAATATGGTGACATTTATTCTAGACTATTTTTAAACTAGTTCTCAAATTTCCTCCAACTATGGACGAAATGGACCGAGCCGATTTGGAAGTATAAGGTTATCAAAGAAAATATGTTTGATGTGCACACAAAAATACTATTTGAAAATAGTGGATGAAATCAATTTATCATTTTTTTACCAAAGTCAATATTCTTCCTTACATAGGGCCTCGTGAGGTTATTGAGATATAGGTGTGTCAATGAATATACGTTTTTATTTTATTGCGTTTTTAAGGTTAAAAGCCAATCTTGAAATTGAAAATTCATGCAATTATTAAATAATGAGTCAAATTGACGAGCTGTTTTTGAAATATAGGCGTGCCTAAGAAAATATATTCATGCGTACGTAAATGAATTTAGTGGATGATATTTGATGAAATGGGTATGGGTTTGTAGAGGTATCAACTATCACAATATCTAGAAATTTTATGAAAATCGGATTAAAGCTGGAAGTTGAGTTGATTAACTCATGACCCATCGTCTCAACATCGTGAACTGACTCTGTGTCCATGTCTCGTTCGGCAGTCTTGGTACCTGTGAACGTCTATGCTTATTCTTTAAGATGATGTAAACAAAATACAAGTTATATACAGTAAAAACATCTCGACATGCCTCTGTTGAAATTACTGGATTTTAAGCTTTAGAAGTAAAACGAAATTCTCAAGACGCCATTGTTGCTAGTCTCCCTTACATGATCGACTGAGCAAGTTAAGGAAAGTTGCAAATTATTAACAATAAACCATAATTGTTATTGGGCCTTATAGATATTTGTCAAATCCTTTCATAAATAAAATTTTAAAAAACAAGACAAAGAAATACTTCAAAATTGCGGCTAACAGTTTCATGTCGCTAAAGAACTTGATACATACAATTTGAAGTTTAATCTAAATTAATGTAGCTGTCTACGAAACATGAACATAGATAGATAGATAGATAGTTTATTTTATTTGTCTAAGGAGATTCCTGAACAAATAAATATAATGGTATAATTAACAATGTTAAATGTTGAGTCTAGTACTGCATTCAAACATAACATTAACAATGTCCATGTTGTATAATGATTGTATTAAGTATGACTAATATAATATAATATAATAACAGATTAGTAAACGATATATATATATATATATATATATATATATATATATATATATATATATATATATATATATATATATATACATAACAATTAGTAAAACATTTTTTTATTTTTTTTTATTTTATTTATTATTATTATTATTTTTTTTATTTTTTAAATATTCGAGAGATATAAGACAAATGACAATATAAATAAGCATTAATATATCTTATATGATTTACTTTACCACTTAACAGTTCAATGAACAGCCCTGTATGAAATAATACAGTTGGTTTAGTTTTTTCGTAGTGTCTATTTTCAGTATCTCCTCC